TTTTTTAAAAAAAAAGATCCTAATTCCATAAAAAGTTATAGCTTTTTTAGCAAAACGCTGCACCGCGGCAGGCTCTGCCATTCCACTCCGCTGATCTCTCAATTGCGCTGTATCAGTTGATTTGGAGGGAATTTAAAAACCTCAACTAAAGTTTCACAAAATAGCAAACATTGTATTAAATAATAAATTTATAATTTTAGGTGAATAATATTATGAATAATTAGTTATTTTTAATGTATTTACATAATTTTTTGAGTTCAAACTTGGAACTAGAAGAATATATTTTATTTATAACTATTTTATCAAAAATTTCAATTACTTCCGCGTAAAATGAGATACAATTTTTTAAACCATTGATTCTATCCTTAGATATTTATTTTTTTAATTAAAAAGAGCTTTAAAATTTAATTGTTAACATCTTGTAAAATAAATTAAACTTAAAAAAAATCATTTTGGGCTATTGTTTTGAATAATATATACTTTTCAAAAAATGTAAAAATTATGATATCAAATTTTGTGTGTAAGCGCTATTAAAATGTTGACTCAATGACAAATTAAAATTGTTATTTCTATGTAATGATTGATAAATAGGATATGTATGGAAATTGTATAAAATTGTTTAAAGCAAGCTCAATGTTTTATTAATAAATAGCTCATCTATAAATTTATCATACATAGCAAATTGGTTACTAAGAAAAAAAAATAAAAAAATAAATGTGCTAATAAAAAACTGCTGGAATTATTTTTTTTAATAAATAGTGAGAAAAACTATGCAGGTTACATTAAAATAAGAGTAAGAAAGGATAATTTAAGCAACAACAAAAAAACTTTCAGATGGTTTGATGGGTAATAAAAATCATTGTTGATATATTTAGATTTCATCCTATTTGCGGTAACTTGCTTTCAGTTTAAAAATAAATAATAAAAACAAAGATATTTAATATTTTTTTGGCACAGATAACGTGAACTATTTCTATTTTCAGCAAAAGTTTTATCTCCTTTTAAAATCAGAGTTAATAAGTTTAAGCGCTTCACTTTTTCCAGAAAACTCAATAGAAGAAATTAACTGCTTTAAAAAATGTGCAAGCTTAGAAATTAAACCATCTAATAATCAATGAACATTCATAATAAATAAAATTAAACTTTTTTTCTTCTTTTTTCCCCATTTGTATATAAAAAATAGCAAACGATTGAGGAAAGAGAATCTTTTTAAGTAAGAAAGAAATATCCATTCGAATCTTTAAAAAAGTTATTGAATCAGATTAAATAAGTCTCCTACTGGTGGCTGAGGCAGCCAATCTGGTATACTTCCCATACAAGCTATCATCGAAGCTACCCTCCCTAAAATGCCCTCTTGTTTCCATAGCACCAGACTGTCGCAGACTTTGTGGCGGTCAGAGTACCTATCGTAGACAAACAGTAGAATTTTATTTGTTTTTATAAGTGCGTATATTCGTTTATATTGTTTTTATTTTTGTAAGAAATAAATGTTTGGTTTTATTTTTATTAAAAAAATAACATAATTATTAAATTTAATACCTAACCAATTTTCTATCCATCTTCCCCTAACCCCATTATTTACATGTTAGGATAGCCTCGTTTAGCGCTGTTTTGCATTACGCTCTACTTTGATGGGACATATCCTACGCGTTAAGCGGGGTCTTAGTGTATATATATTTTTTATCATCATACATATGTTCTGCAGCTAAATTTTAAACATTAAGTCAATCAAAGAAATTTTTTACTATTGCCATCAGTAAGAAAATTTCTTTGATTGACTTAATGTTTAAAATATGGTTGCAGAACATATGCAGAATGATAAAATATATATATATATATATTTAAGTCAACATCGGAAAAAAATTGTCATTTTTTTACTATTATATTCTTTTAAACATGTGGAAAATTAAATATATATACTTCTTGTCTCAAATTTAAATTGGATAATTCAAAATTAAAGTAGTAAAAACAATGCTGATCATAAAAATACTCACAAGTTTGAGTTAAACTTAAACATCAGCGTTAAAAGAAAATTGCTTCCGATATATTGAAAAATTCTGAGCAAAACATTGTTATCTTTGTCGATTCTCAGGCTGCAATTCAGACAATTTCTGTATATGGCCAGGATAGCCTGGTCGGTAGGGTGCTGGGCCCATATCCAAGAGGTCGTGGGTTCGATCCTCGCCGGCCGAAGACTCCCCGTGTAGTAAATGGTGACTGATGCACGTTAAATCTGTCGAGTCTCAAAGTCCTCCATGTTCCCACAACAAATCAATACCTCTGGGGGTACTGATCCAGGAGTTTCCTTGTCTTCTGGATTGGTTCAAAATTACAAGGCTACGGAGTTGAACGTAAGTAGTCGTAAACCCATGAAATTGGGTTGGCTGTTCAACGACGGTTATAATATAATAATTTCTGTATATAATTTATACCCCTCTGAACTTGAATCTGAGTGTAAACAACGCACTGACTCTCTTCTTTGTTCTGGAAGAGAGATAGTCCTCTAGTGGATCCCTGGCCATTGTGACATCTGCGGAAATGTTGAAATGTTGGCTAGAGAGCATTGCACCCACCTTCACATCCAGTTCCTCTTAGAAAATGCAAGGCGGCTTCTTAAGAGCAAATTCGGACACAGAACAATATCTACTCTTAGGGACTTAGCTAATGGAAAATCCTGGGCTAGCCTTCTTGATGGCTAGCAGCGCTCTCATCTTTCCCTCCTTCCCAGGGCCGAGGGAGTTGCTTGTCTTAGAATAATTACTGGACATGACTACTTGTAGGCCCATCTATTTAAAATTAACCTGGTCAATTCACCTCTTTGTGTGCTCTGTAACACTTCGCCTATGACTGGGGAGCATCTATTTGATTGCCCCTCTCTTCTCGACATTCGTTCCTGTGACGACTTTCGTGCCCTCTCACCTTCTGGAGCTACTTCACTATTGTATTGTACTGCAAGATGCCTTATGTCTAAAAAGACAATGGCGGGCGTAATTTAAAAAAAAAACTACAAAATTAAAAGTAACCAAGTTATAAAAATATTCAACTGTTTATTTACACTTACATGCTACTGCAAAATTTACTCAATATTACATCTCATAAAGTTTTATCAATACTATTATACCTGCCAAACACCATTTCCTGAAATTCTACATATTATTACGTAGTTGTAGAATAAATTATATTTTACAATTATGAATAATAAAAAAATATGATAAATATTACTACTATTTCACAACACAATTATTTTAATTTAAAGCAAAACACGCTAAAATATACTTCATTCAATTCTAGAAGCAATATATTCTTATCTTCATTAGTTAATATACACATCTCAATAATCTTTTGGTAAAATAGAAGTTAAAAATACATATTGGCTGTTAATTAAAATAATTATTCAAAAAAGCAACAGTTGTATTAAGAGCTTCTATTTTATTTTTAAATAAATGTTTTCTCCAGTACTTTAAAACCATTTGATGTAGTGTATTCCTTCAATTGCAAGTCTTTGTTCACTTGTAAATATATTTCTGAGCAATGTTTTTTGAAAGATTTTATAAAATGATCAGCAATACAGTCCTCTCCCTCAGCCACATACGTTTTGTTTTCTGTCAGGATCAAACCTTCCATCAGTGTCCATTTATTCTTTAGAGCAGGGGTGTCAAGCTCAAAGCTAACTTGGGCCGAATAAACAATGCTTAACTTTAGGTGGGCCGCAAAAAAAAAAAAAATTACTGTTCATAGAAACAAATATTTTTATTTTGAATTTGTGATAAACATATATAAAGTTAAATTATTGTTTACGTCCTGATACTTGGCATCTCTTCTCTGCTATTATCTTTTCTATTTCGGGAGAAATTTTATTGGCTGAGACTACTTTCGAAATTGACCCAACGTGAGCGTTATTAATACGGTTTTGGACTGGAGATTTATTTCCATTCATAACAGAAAATAATTGCACTCACTGATAAGTACTTCCAAACTTGGAAATAATTTCATACTCGAATTTTTGAGTATTTTCAAACCTTGCTGGTAAATATTCGTGAAATTTAGGCACACCCACTTCAATGAATTTTGCCCTCAAATTTGAGTCGCACTGAATCTCAATCACTTCCATTTGCATATAACTGGGTACTGAGTCTATATTTATTGAGAAAATCAAAGAAAACAAACAAAATTTGTCTTCTAATCAATTAAAATCTTTAAACTTTGTTTCAAATTCTGTTCTAAGATTTGAAAATTTTTTCTGCATACTTTTGATACAATGCAGTATCTTATAAACTAGATTTGTTCTTGTTGCACGTTGGGAAGTGTGTTAAATCTTCATTTTTCAGTTGCCTTTCCCAAAGAAATAGTTTACATTTGAATGTTTTTTTAATTATGTCAAACATGCTCGTAATGATCTGATCCTTGCCTTGTAACAATAAATTTAAATCGAATTAGTGTTTGGTTATATCAACCATAAAAGATAAATCTTGCAACCATATTTGATCGGAGAACAAGTTTGTATCTTGATTTACAGTTTGTAAAAACTTACATATTTTTTCTTTCGAATCCCAGAATTGATTGAGAACCTTGGAGCAAGATAACCAACTTGCCTCGCTATAATAGGATAAACCTGATTATGTACTATCTAATTGATAGCTTAGTGTGAAACGGACTCATTTCAGCCAATTAGAATTTTACATTTTCGAGCGGACAATTTAAAATGATCCGTATAGTTTATGAATAAAGTATATTATAATTTTATATGCTAGTTTCGTTTCTAATTCACTTTTCTATTTTATTTTTACTTTGCTTTGTATATATTGACTGGGCCACAAAAATGTTCATCTCGGGCCGCGAGTTTGACACCCCTGCTTTAGAGTTTAGCTATGTATATTATATGAAAAATATCTTTATTCAATAATGGGATAAAAACTTTAGATTCGACGGAGGCAAATCTTAATTTATGTGAATTATTTATGCAGGTGTTAAACTCTTTTATTAAATTCTTTTTTTCACAGTTGACTCATCTCCGTATACCATTAGAACACATAACATGGTCAAGAGTTACAATGACTTCAGATCAGTGGATCTGCATAAGACACTCTCTACTGTAAGAATCATAATCTTTATTCCTCCACATGTTTAATAGTTACTTATTTACAATAAATATTTTATTATCAGGGGTCCAAACTTGGAAGATGTTACTGCAATAACTATTCTGAATCCACATCATTCAATGCCTCGAACTTGGAAAACAGTGGCAGATTGTGCTCAAATGAATCCCACCAAACCTATTATAACTGTGAAGGGTTAGTGCTTCAAATATTCATATTTTTGATTCATTTTCCATATAAAACTATTAAAAAACTGAATGACATGCTCATGCTTTTAACAATAAGAATTATTCTTATGAATGATTCTTATAAGAATGATATAAGATTATTTATAAGAATGATTCTTATTGTTAAAAACAAGATCATTAATTTAATCAGTTCTTTAAAAAAATATTGATTTATTTGATTTAAAGCAGGCTTTTTGATTTAAATTTTGATTTTTTTTATTTTAATGATTTTTTTTAATAAATGAAACTTATAAGTTTTACTACAAGCTAGTAATTTATTTGTATACACCAAAAATTATAATGTTAATGAATATCGTATATTCATTAGTAGTGTGTATCTATATATATATATATACAGTAGAGCGACGATTATCCGAACTGCTCGGGACCGAACGTGGTTCGGATAATGAAAAGCTCGGATGATTAGAAAGTTGTTTAAAATCTAGTTTAAATTATTATTATTTATGCACTAACTTCCTTTCACACTTTTTCCAGGTTTAGGACTGGTAGTACTATCTAAAGAAGCTAAGTTTAAAAGTTTTTTTTTTTAACTTTTTTCATTTTGAATTTTTATTATCATATTTCAGCTTTTTATAATTTTTTTTGTCAATTACTGATTTTACCACATTTTTCTTTATTTTCTCTTGCAAAAGAAATCCAGCAAAGACTTTTGTTTCAAAGAAGATGCTTTTTTTGAGCAGCCATATCCCTTATTCTTTTTAAGTAAATCAACTGAACTGGATCAACATCATTTTGACGTTCTAGCCAATTGATTGCAATATCTAATGAATTGCATTTTTCTATATGAGAAGGTCCTCTATCTTGAACTTGATTACCTACTTATTCCTCTTCGTCTGTGGAGTTTCGATTTTCATTCAAAATTTCAGCAACAATTTCATCATCATTTAAAATATGAAATCCTAGGAAGTTTTCCGTGTCTCGACACCAGTCTTCTATTTCTTCTGCTGCAACCTGGCATCTTCTCAGCTGGAAGATCTACTGGTTCAGAAATTTAGAAAAATTGTGGATAAGTTAAAAAGTATTCTAAACTTTAAAAAAAGGAAGAAAAAAAACGAATTCAGGCATAGTTCGGATAATTGGGACTGACGAAAAACTTTGACATATTGGAAGTTCGACTTACCGTTAGTTTCGGTTTTGGGCTTTCAAAATATTTTCGGATTATTTAATTAATGCTTATTAATTACAAATCTTCTAAATGCTTACAATATTTAAGAAAAAACTGTAAAGTATAATATAATAACTCACTTTATTATTTGCTCTACATTTTACGTTTTTTTGAAGTAGTCCGTCACTTTACGTTGAAGTAATCCCTTTTGAGTCTTTAGAAACAGTATATCTTTAATTTTCTGCAGGTGCACAAACATCGAATTATCAATTCCTTCTTGACTCTCTAGAAACTTTTGAAGAACTTCAAGAGATGCACGCGCTTCAAGTATGTTTGGGACTATTGTTTCTGAATCTTCTTCCTCAGCAGCACTTTCATCATTTTCTTCTGTGATCTGTATAAATTCTTCGTCGGAAATATCACCACAAACAGCAATGCTTTCATCGAAGTTTATGAAATCGGAGTTCACAATTACTTCCTCATCTTGAAGCTCTTCTATCACAGGTTCACTCTGTGTTTCTTTAAAAAACCCACACTTCCGGAAACAGTTTCTTATTGTCGTTTCGCTTACATTATTATTCCCAGCACTGGAACGTAGCCTCATGGCTTCAAGTACATCAACTTTTGTTTTCAATATTGTTTATCATTTTTCTGACAAGCCTTTTACGATAAGACTGTTTGAAGCACTTTATGATACCCTGGTCCATCGGCTGTAACTTTGCTGTTGTGTTTGGTGGAAGAAACTGCAAGTTTACTGCTTTCAAATTAGGTAGATCACTATGCGCTGTGCATTTATCCATAAAGAGTATCGCTTTTCTTTTTTTAGCGAAGAATTTCCGATCCAATTTTGTTGCATAGTCTGCAAATAAAACTGATGTCATCCAAGACTTTTTGTTAGACTTGTAATCCAAAGGATACGTTTTTACATTCTTGAAACATCGGGGATTTCGGTATTTTCCGATAACAAGTAAGGGCAATTTCTCTGTCCCAGGCGCATTTCCTCCAGCTAGGACAGTCAAACGTTCCTTGCTCATTTTACCCCCTGAGCAGTTTTCATCCTTAAACATCATAGTCTTATTTGGAAGACATTTAAAAAATAAACCCATTTCATCAATATTGAAAACATCATTTTCACTGTATCCTTGAAGTAAATTTGGTAACGTTTCATTTAACCACTGTTCACATACTTCAAGAGGGACAGCTTTAGCTTCTCCAGGAAGAGTGCGAAAGGCAATATATTGTGTCTGCGCTTAAATTTTTCTAGCCACCCAGCACTGGCGTGAAAATTATCTATTTTTAATGGTTTAGCAAAATCTATCACTTTCTCATGTAGCAAAACACCACTTATGGGAATAGCATTTTCTCGATTTCTGTACTGCTGAAACCATTTTAGAAGAGCTGATTCCACCTGGGGGAAGGCACTCATCTTCATTCTTTTAGACAGCGGGTTCGTAGATTCATATCGTTTAAGGATATTTTCTCTTTCTTTTAATATCGTAGAAAGGGTATTCAGGGGAATTCCATGCTTCAACGCTATATCTTTCTTCTTAATGTTTGGATTTCTATCTACATCATTAATAAGATTAATTTTATCTTCCAAGTTGAGGGTTTTTAATTTTCGCTTCGACATCTTTAGAGGTAAGCACTTCTTCCTCACAATCTCTAACAGCAAATCATAAGCATAAAGCTTGTTCAGACCAGAAAATTTTTTATTCATTCCCCACAGGTGTTATCCCTTTTTCTCACACTGAAAACTTGTTCTGTCAGAACAAGCTTTCAGTCAGAACAAGTTTTCAGAACAGAAAACAAATTTATCATTCCCTGCAGGTGCCACAGATGTTACTAATCCCTTTCTCTCACTCTGACTAAACTTGTTCTGACCAGTTGAGTCTATTGTGTGTGTGTTGCAAAGGAAGGGGCATTATATCAGCTCCTAGTTTTTTTTCCTTGCTTTAAAAGATCCAGTAATCTTTTTAAAATAAATCGAGTTAAAGGGAGTAAAATTCGAGTAATCGAGAATAATTAACATGAAATTGAAGATAAGGATCATAAAAAAATCGAGTTATAGTAATATTCGAGTTGTCGTACTTCGAGTTATAGCGAACTGACTGTATATCAATGAAAAATATTAACCAATTTGAAAATATTCATTAATTGAAATTTTATTGAATATTTTGAAAACATTTAGTGAATAAATGAAACAAAATGTTTTCATCATATCATTTTATCAACAATCTTAATATTGAGTTTTATGCCAGAGAGTTGAATTCACAGGTCAGGAGCGTTATCTTGCGTAGCTCTTAATTTTATATTTTGTCTAGTTTTTAGTTTGTTTTTTTTTTGTTTAGTTTTCCAATTGAAATTATTATCTCGTTCTTAATTTGATGAAAACTAATAATTAATGACCTGAAATATAAAGCAAAAAACTGCGAATATAAATGTTGAGAATGGTTGTAATAGAAACTTATTTGAATTTGGTTATATTTATGTTTATTATTGGTTATATTGATGTGAATACAATTTCAATTAATGTGAATACAATATAATTATTCATACCTTGCATATCCTTTTTTTATTCTTCAATATTTTTTATTTAAAAAAACATTGTTTTTAATTTGGCTTTTCTTCCTTTGCAAGCATTTCAACTAATAATTTCCTTAAAATAACGGAAATATTCAATAAATATTGGATAATTAATTGGATATAAATTTAATTATAAGTTTTAAAATTATAACTGGCTAAAAAAAAAGTTTCGGAGCCTCTCTTACTCTACTACGGAACCCTAGGATTCTGCTGTACCCCATTTGGGAACAGCAATTCTAAGCAATTAATTTGACAAAACGAAGAATGTATGATTAAAAGTTTAAATATATTTAAAATTTTAACAAATTCCTTTTTGTTCTGAATTGAATCATTGCTTTAAAATGAACTTTATTGAAACCAATATATGATACAATTATTTTGTTTCACAACTCAATATACAAAATTAAGAGTTTTTTTAATATTTTCAAATTAATTTATTTATTCATTTAAAATGTACTCCTATACTGGATAAGGCATATAGAACCCGCCCCGCCCCCATTGGGGCGAACGGAGGGGTGTCCCACCGTCGCGACAGTACCTATAAGGACCGCCATCTGAACACCAGCGTTGTGCTCAGCCGATCGGCCAGCTCCACCCGGGGCATTTATTTAAAACCAGAAAATACAAAAGATGACAACACACAATAGTACACAATCTTGCTCCGTGATCTCCGCCTTATTATGCAAGCTTGTTTACAAAATTAAACACACAAAATATAGGTATGCTCCGGGAGGGCCGCCTTATAGTCCTAAGGTGGCCCTTCCGGAGCATACCTATATTCTAATACATTAATTAATATATTTTATACATTAATTTATTTATTTTATCCTATACTGGATAAAATAAATTAATTAAATATATCTTGTTCTTAACACTGTTTCACTCACTAAATTTTACTTAATAAAATTGTAGTCTTATGGATGTAAAAAATTACAAGCATAAGTGAAATAAAAATTTTGCATTTGGAATTGCTTCAACATCTGTGTATATAGATGGAAATATAAAATATCATTGTTATTTACTTTTACTTCGCAATTCTTACATTATAAATCACAAAATAATTTTGAAATTAGTAGTTAATTATCAATCTACTAGATTCCCAGTAATATATTAATAATTTAAGTATTCTTCATTAACAAACAGATTGAAACCGAAAGATTCTAGGGTTGACTGTGCTTTTATTTCGACCATTTATTTTTCCTTCCATATTGTCAGTTTAGACATGTGATTGCTGGAAGAAGAAATTATCTGAAATTTTTGTTCTCAATGTGTAGTTTTTTTCTTCTTCAAGGTTTTATTTGTTTTTCTTTTTGTACATAGAAAATAAGTAAAACACCATCATTTTTTATGCACAAAAGTAGCATTTATGAAATTAAATTAAATAATTTATAAAATTAAGTAAGAAGTTTTTTTTTTATTTAATAAATTTTTTCTCATCAACACATAAAAGAATTTATATATTGAAAAAAATGGATATTCCTTAATTTGCAAGTCGTCAGTGCACTAAAAAATGATTTCAAAACCGTAGAATATCAGCAATGACTGAAAAATAATTGATGATAAAACCACTTCTATTTACGACGAAAACACATGAAGCGGACGCGGCAGAAAGAGATTAATTGAATGTACATTTCGAGAATCGAGTGGTGTTATTTATAATATTGTATTAAAAAAATTGAGTTTTGGATAAATATGCATAAATTAGCTGTTAAAACTGCCAAAAAATTGATTAGAAAGACGTCAGAATTATTGTGTACAATATGAATTTCCCTTATTTAATAATATTGGAAATTTAAAAAATCATGTGAAAATCAACAGCAATAACTGCCCAAAAAAACTGATTGAAAAGCGACATAGCGCAAATCGAGCATGTCAAAAAGTAATTACTGGAATGTGCGATTCGAATTTCTCGTCGTATGAACAAATCGGGATTTAAAATATCATGCGGATATCAATGACATTAACTGTGAATAAGTCAATCGAAAAAAACAGTGGCATCATTACATCAAAAAGTAACAGACTGAATTTTNATTTATAACGATAAAAATATCTTGCAGAAAGATATTGGTTCTAATTAGGTTTGTCGCAGAAAGTCAGAAAAAATTCTGCCACAGGGATCATGCATAAAAACGCACAATGTGAAGTAAAGCTGGGAAAAAAATTTGGCGTTGAAAACATAGAATTTTTAAGAAATGCACCCCTTTGATGATTAATGATGCAAGAAAAAAAACTTTTTTATCATAAAGTTTTAACTGATTTGAAATAAATTTATTTAACATTTTATATATAAATTTTTTAATTTGTGAAATTTTACTCAAACATACCAGTAATACTTTAAATAATGCAGGGCAATGAGATAAGTCAATTTTCATTAATATTTTGATACTAAATTCTACATTTTACAAATTTTTTTCTGACAATGGCATTTTAAGCAGTTATTGCTTTATTTCCGCATTGTTTTTAAAATCTCAATGATTTAATACGTCTTTACCGTGTACCACAAATTTTGAATCACACATTTGAGTAATCCCTTATTATAGTGACACATTTTTTTGATTATCGAAAACTCCATCAGAAATCCAAGCTGATTTGCCAATATCTATTTTGGCAGCTATTGTACAAATTTCTATATGGTTTTAAATATCTCAATATTTTAATGCGCCATTATAATATTCGGAGAATTCCAAATTACGCACTTGAGTAATCATTTTTCAACCCACTCGATTAGTGAAGATTCTGTAGTAAATCACATAGTTTTACAATCGTATTTTAATCAGTTATTGCCATTGCGAATTTTCATGGTTTTTAAAATCCTAATTTTTTACTGCTACTTTGTTTTGTTCCGCTAATTTCGAATCACTAATTTGAAAAATAATTTTTTACGCACTGCAATTATTGACGACTCACCAGTAAACCGACATTTGCATAATCGAATCGATCGATTTCGTAATGTTTTTAAAATCTTGATTTTTTTAATGCTACATATTTTGTGCAGGAAATAGTGAATTGCGCATTTGAGGAATCACTTTTTGATTCATGCGAATTTAATGCCCTCATTATTTCTTTGCTCACCATTTCATCAGTTATTGGAATTTCTGCACAGTTCCACGTGAATTTCAAATTGGTTTTAAATAAGCTTTTTATGACGTCTGTATTCCTGACGATTTCATCTCTTATACACGAATCAAAGAGTTTTATGCACTCTGAAACAGAGTGTGTGATTTTTCTGCCGATAATCTTCTTACGTGAGACAAGAGAAAAAATACGTATCTTCTTCGCTTTGAAGTGAAATGCCACCATAATCGCAAAACTCCATATTTCATTCCGTGATATCCAAGTTTCCTTATATTGTAGCGAGAATCGGATAAATCGCAAACAACAATTGAAGATCTGGTAAAAGTCATAAAAAAGTGAAGGATTTGCAAACCTGTATAATAAGGAATGAAAAAGTTTACGGGTTAAACGTCGTAATAAGAATTTTAATAACCACAAAAAATCAATTGCATTAACTGCGAAAGGAAAAAAAAAGGATCTAAACAAGGAATTACAATAGTGTAGAGCGTGTTGAGACGTGACTACTGAAATGTGCGATTGGTAATTACTGTGTCATAGTTTCATATTTAAAATTAATTTGATCTAATTGTTGCTAAATAAATAACAGGACATATATATCTTATTGATTAAGTAATTCTTCCTTAAAAATTGGAATTTTCAACAAACTTGCTTTGAAATATAAGTTGTTGTTTTTTTAAAAAAAGGAGTGAAAAAAATCCCCCCCCCCCTACAAACGGTCTTTTTGCCTTTTTGGAAATAATATAGAGATTATGAATTTTATATTTTTGTGTTTGCTTCTCTTGTTCATTAATTCTAGCCGAAGTTATTATGGCAAATTTTTTTTTCAGTCTCGTTTTTTCGTAGTTTATCCGAAGTTGTGTTTTACTGTAACAAATCTGCGTTTAAAAAAAGTCTTTATCACACTTAAATGAGACTCTAGGAAGAAAAGAAGAGGAGGGTGCTGGTAAGGGTTAAAAATGAGATTTTTCTTTAATAGTGAAATTTAAAATTAGATTAGTGAAACTGTGAGAAAATTTTGTAAGAAATTATTGATTTGAGGAAGTCTGCGAATAAACAGTTTTGACTTTCGCCGAATTCTGTAATTTAACGGAAGAATTACATGCCTGATTCATCTAAAGGAAAGTATTGAAAAAGAATTTGAATCCAAAATGTATATCGATTAAAGAATCGTGTTTAAAGCTTTAAATAATTGTACATTTTGACTACTTAATTCTTAATTGATTTATTATTATTTTGCCCATTTGTGTTTTGAAATTAAGAGAAAGAAGTTCAGGAATCTAATAATAAAGTAAAAAGAATCGCAAATAAAAATGTTACTGTTCGAGTAATAACTTTTTTCTTTTTCATGTTGTTTCCTTTTTTATCATAATTTTAAAACAGTCCTTTCCTACATATAATTTTGCTTTTTGATTTAAATTTTATAGCTGGTTCAACTTTCCAAATATATGATCTTAGAAGCCGTAAATGCTTACACAGGTGTTCTTTGACGTATTGTGTTCACTTTTGGACTTGGATCAACTCATCTACTATAGTAATTGTATCAGATACTTCAGTTTATCATTGGTATTTGGACAGAGGTAATAATTTGTTTGTGAATGGGATTTTTACTCAGACTTTTAGAATAATAAAACTGTACAATATCACAGATAAAACTTTAATTATCAAGGTTAGCTAAAAATCGTCACGATTTATTTAAATTTATAAAAAGAATTATGTATTTGAGTTAATAGTTTGATTTCAGTCAAAAAAACAAACTATTTTTTTTAATTACCACACAAAAACCACAAACTATTGGATAGTTTAAAAAAAATTGCTTTGTCATAGAAAATTTCATAATGCAGTGCCGTTTATAATGCTCTTCCTAATTGTAAGAAGCTATAATGATGAAATTCAAAAAATGGGATAGAAGTAACAGGTAGATAACCTTTAAATAGCATTGTCAAATAGCTTGTTTCTCTAACTGATCTCAATGAAACCCTTACAACATATTTTTTTATATAAATTCCTATTTAGAGATTAATCATACCATATTGGGAATAGTATGACAATAGTTTAATTTAATTATTAAATCTGTAAAATGACTAATTGATGTCAAGCCTAGACCAAGAATTCACCTATCAAATACCTGTGAAATTTGATAAAAAAAAAGAACTTAAATGGTTTTAAGGTTTATTTCTGTTCTATTCCTTGTGTATTATTTATAATACCCATTTAAATAGTACCATAAAATACTGATTAAGACCCCCCTGAAATTAAGACGAAAAATGAGGGTTAACTGGGAAAAAATGCAAATTTTTAAAGATTCATAAAATATTTTAAATACCATTGATAGATTTGTTTCCCTAGCTTGTGTTTCTCTTTTTCAGTGGATATAGTACTGATTAATGTAGACCCTGGACTAAGAATTCTGAAATCAGATGCCTGGAAAATTTATGAAGAAAAAAAAAACTTTAATGATTTCTATATTTAGTGGAAGGTTAATTTCTTCTGCACTAACAATGTATAGTGCCAATTTGAAAATAGGGTGGGAATCAAAATATTGGCTGAGGGATTTAATTTATTTATTTGAATTTTGTAATTATATTTTTTGAATGAAAACTAGTTTTCGCAATTTTAAACATGTAATAAGATTGTAGTTGGAAAAAAAGATAATTTAATAAAAAATTTTAAGCTTCCTTTTGTAACTCAAATGAGCTCTCTATCTAGTAAACAAAACAAAGTTCTCGCTTGTGACAAAATTAGAAATGAAAGAAAATGTTTCAAAAATAATTTTTCATTAAAAGTTAAATAACTCACTTGAAATTCTTGGAAATAGATCAATAAATAATTATTCAGTACAAAATATTTATTAATTTATTGTAAAAATTTAAACAGGGTTAATTGAATATAGCCTTGTTTAATTTGTAGTAATAAATTAATAAATGTAAATTAAAATTTTATACAAGAAATCCTAGAGAATTTTTTTTACTTACGTAGGTATTTTTTTTTTTGGTTTGATATTTATTAAAGTTTTCTAAAAGTTGTAAAGATTTAAGTTTTCTGGACTGCAAAGGGTTTAAAATGTGCATGAAGAATACACTGAATTTTAGGTTAACTTTTATTCAGACATTAATTTTTTGATTAGTGATTGAAAAATATATAATGTATACTATTTAATTTGACATAAATTTCCTCTAAGATTTAGAGCATAACAAATTATACTTCTTTTTATTATAATTGATATGCAATTTATAAAACTATACAGTAGTACTATATATTTATCTATGCATATAAAATAATTATCACTGCTTGAATAGTAATTTATTAAAAATGAAATACTAGTGTGGAATAAAAGAAGATTAATATATGATTACATTTTTATAAACCTGCTTATATCCTTTATTTTTTCTCCAAAAAGTGCTAATATTTTAGTATTAAATAAGAATGTGGTCTTTGAAATAGCATATAACTCTTTATAAGGAATCTTTGAATATTGGACAGATTTGATACAGGTGGCATTTGTAACTAATTGTTCATAAGTTAAGCCTATTTTTATCAAATTATTTAGCCGTATTACATTAAATTTTAATTAATTTTAAACTTATCATATTGATGCAGACCCTATTTTTGTTGCCTAACTGTGTAGGTTATTTAATCTCTTTGCATGTTTAGTGCTTTTTTTAATCTTGGAAAAGTGACTTGAAAGTTTACTTGATTCTGAATATTCCAATTTAGAAAGGATCTCTGAATATATAATAATCTTGTTTTATGGTTTATTGAATAATAATTATGGGTTTAATATTTAAAATTATTTTTTTATATAAAAATTATTAAGCATATTAAACTTTTTGTAATAGAAAAGTGTATTTATTGTTTATAAATTTATTGTATAATAATAAATGCAATTTTATTTTTCAGAATGCCCAATGCCAATAAAAATGTTCTGCCTGGATACTAAGTTAAAAAACTCACAATTAGTACGCTATGTCTCAGATTTTGACATGAAATGGTTTGCCCTCACAGGTTTAGTGGCTGACGTAAGTTGTTTCTTTATGCAAATAATTTTTAGATAAGAATTAACGTCTGAAAGATACAATAAAAATCTATAATTCACTAGTTTTTTTGAATTATAATGGTGCTAAATTTTTACTGCAAAATTATTTGATTGCAGATTTAATAGTTTTTAATACATTATAGAATATTGATCTGCTATTATTAAGTAAAGTAAACAGGCAGTTTCTTTGAATATGTAGAATAATGATTTATGTCTGAAATACATTTTTTATATAAAGATTTGTTATTTACTTTGAATCTTAAGCAATTGCAACAGTTTTTTTTTAGAAACATAAACCAATTCAAAATATATATACAAAAAAAGATGAAAGTATTATTCAAGTATCTAACATTTTATGGAGTGAAAAAAGTAATGTAAACTAGCAATCAGTAATATTTAGTTCTCTACAACTTTGTGATTACAAATTAATGGAAATAATCTCTTGTTTAAAGCTTCAGATGGTAGTTATTTAATTTAAATAAAGCAACTTTATTGATTGTTATTATTTTTTTGTTGTACAATTCTATTACAGGGTTCCCACAGTCCTTAAAATCTGCTTAATTTTTATTTTGAAAAATAAGGCCCCTTAAAAGTGCTTAATTTTGGTACAAGATTTTTAAAAGTTGTTAATTTTTCAGCGTGACTATAGTTACTAGGAGTAATTTTTCAGTAAAATTTTTTTAAACAAAAAGTTGTTCTTTAATCACCTAGAATTAGACCATGCATCGAGGGTAGAGCATTTTAGAGAGACAAGTTACTTTATGTTATTATAATATTATATATTATGAAATTGTAATATTATTTTAAAATAATACTTACGTTATTGTAAAATTGTTTTTTTTTTTGAATTTTATTTATTGATTTTCTTTTTTAAGAAAGGTAAATAATTGGCACTGTCACTAGTGCTATATATATATTCAATGATAAGCAATTATACTATTTTTAAGATCCTTAATTTTTCAAAAAAGTTCTTAATTTAAAAAAAAAAAATGTGCTTAAAAGTCTTTAATTTTTGCTTTTTTAAAAGAGTGAGAACTCTGTATTAGTTAGTGCAGAGGTTCTCACGCTGAGGAGCAACATTTAGGGGAGGATTTTTTTAAGTGAGCTAAAATTATATGATCCTGTTATTAACAAAATATATTTGTTATTTAATATTTTTGTTGTAAAAGTCTTTACAAACAATTTCAACTATTTGATATTTTTTTATCATTGTTATGCATCATGTAGGTTAAGTATTTTTTTAACTCTTTAGGACAACCATGTTGTTGGTGTGACACAAATATTTTCTGTTGAGCGCAACATATGCCAAAATATTGAAGCACATTGTGTTTGTTTCACTTCATACCAATTTAAGGGAAATGCTCAGCCATCTTGTGTTCTAGTTGCTGCATCAAGAACTGCTGACTTACCAGGAAAGGTGGTTCATTTTCTTTAAACTTATCAAATTTGATCAATCAGAATTCATTAGTGCAATCAAAAGGGAAATATTACATTTTTTCAATTTTCTTAATCATTCCCGTTGCATTAGAAGTGTTCACTGCAGCCAAGTTATAGGAAATAAATGTTTTTTGAATTTTGCACAAAAATTAAATGTTTATGATAAGAGAAATGTTTACAATAATTCTTGTTTCTACTATCAACTTTTATAGACATTTTTTGGCATAATGTCAATGATAGTATAATTTTTTCAACCTAAAATTAATAAAGTGCATAGTTTAGAAAACTAATTATGACCTAAATATAGAACTTAGTGGCAGCTAAGCGGAAGCAGTGAAGCGACAGCTAAGCAGTGAAGGAACACTTGTTCCTTCACTGGTTTTTCATCGTTTGGTGATCCAGTGAATAAACACCCCTTATCTCAGTACTTGATTATGCTATGGTGCTTTAAAAAAAATAAAACGTAACTTCAATAACTATATTTTGAATTCTCTTTTTCACAGTGAGAAAAATAAGACTACTACATGCAATTAATTCCACTTCAAACATATAAATACAAACACTCACCTTATAATTTTTTCAAAGAAACAAGGTGTTACAGAGATAATAACAAATTCAAAAATTTTTCCAGAGAAGTCTATTTGACCAGGTAATCCAAAACATTGCTAGATGACTTCCTATTGTTTGGCAGTAAGCTATTGTTACCAATCAATCTAAAGAAAAACTTTCAAATTCTTATTTTTAATCAATATATATGAAATGTTCCTTCACTGGTTGGTTTACCCTATTCAAACATGATGTTTTAGTCTTTAGAATCATTAAAATTTTATGCATTGTGTAAAATTCAGGACATATAAAATATCCTTCTGCCACTCATCCTTTTCAATTTTATCTTCTTCTGCTTTGAATCGCAAGTACTACATTTTTCTAACTGTAACCATGTACAAAACATTGATTATTAGTCTTGGTTGGTAAACATGTAACAAATTTAGTAACTAGAAAATTCTGATTTCTTTCTTTCAATTTTTAAAATTTGTATGTTTCCTGTTAAAAATTTGTATGTTCTTCTTACAAATACTTGATATTTTTAATTTCATACCTGATTTTTTTTTTGCTAACATGGACATTTAATTGATTATTAATGTTTAATGTAATTGTTTATGTAAAAATTAAAACATTTTGTAAAACAAGTTTAATTGGAACTGAATTTTATGAAGGTTTTTAATATTTTCTGAATATAAGTAAGTTTTGGATAATAAGTAGGGCACCCAGTTACACATTAGTCCATCATATTTAGATCTAACCTTGCTTTGAAGTTTTCCAAAAGTGACATTTTAACACCAAATTGTTTCATAAGTTTCTAGAATTTGTACTGGATAGCAACCCAGAAACATCTTATTGTCTATATGAAAATCCTGGTATCTTTCCCCAAAATCACTGCTCTGAGCAATTAGGAAAGGTGGCTTATCATTATATTGCTCTTTTTCATACTTTAGTGAATGTTTCATAAAATAGTAAATGAAGACAATATACACTTATATAAACAACCAGATAATATAATGTAGGCTATTTTCCAGTTGCAAAAGACCATTGTATCTATATTTACCCAGAAAAACGTATGCAAACATTAACTGCTGTAAGAAACAGTAGCTGAAAAAGAGGATTTTCTGAGGCATCGATTAGAAGTGCATTTTTCTCCTTATATGATATCCTTTGAGAAAGTGGGACAAAAATAATTTGATAACTGCTCAGAAAATGTTTTATATGAAACTTTCTTGTTATTTTTATGTTAAATCATTGAAGTTGTGCTTTTTTCAAACGAATTGAACATTCAAGATTGATTAGATTAATATTTTTTTTACAGTGCCATTCATTAGCAATATCATGGATAATATATGTGCAAGTTAAAAAATACTTTACTTCCAAAATTTGTTTAATTGACATATTTTAATTGGTTAAAATCGTTTAATATAAAAATTGAATGTTATTTTTACAGCTTCATGTTGTAGAATTAGGACCACATTTGAGTGGAAACTTAGCTTATACTTCCCATACTGGTGTTATTGAGTTTTCAAACGAATGGTATAGATATGATTTTCCTTCTTCCATACAAGTAAGTATTATTTTATTTGGGAATTATACTTTTATTACTGTACTATAAATTATACTACTGATTTTTTAAAAAAATGATTTTTATGCAATAAATAATTTCTTTTTAAAGGTAGTAAATTTTTTTAAAAATAATTTCAATAAAGTTATTTTGTAGATGGATATCTATAAGTTTCAGACACCAAAATTATTTAAAGTGAAATAAAGACAATAATACCTTTGGTTTTGTAAAAATTGCAAAGAAATGAATATGGATTATAAGAGATTATTCTAAAACGATAATGAAAGAACTTTTTTGTTCACAAACTAAACATCTGTTGTAAATTTACTTTTTGCAAAATAGAAAACGATTATTTTATGTGTGTTACAACTGCAACAATCTGATTCGTCATTATATACTGAAATAATAGATCCATATTTACTATTTTTATCACAATTTTTTTTAACAAAAAGTAATTAAATAGGATAGTTAAAATTAAAAACATTTTATTTTAAAAGAACAACCTGCTCATACTGAAGAGGGAAATGTTTAAAGTTCTGAATTAGAAATATTCAAAAATAGGTTTTGGAAATTTAAATCTTGTATAAGCTTCGAAATATTTAACAAAATTAATTAATTTAATATAATAAAATTAATAAATATAGATTTGAAAAATTAAGTTTCCTTTAAAACAGTTCGAAATATATTTTAAGCACACAAATTTTTGATTGCTTAGTCAAATCCTGTCATTGTGTTGAACAAATGTTAGTAGTAAGTAGCAAACATTTTCAAAACACTAGCAGATTTTTATTTAAAAAAAATAGCTATTTAATTATTAATGATTTTCTCTCAAGATAAAGATTGAAGTTATAGCCCCATATATTTTATAAAAATACCAGTCATGTTTATTACAAATTTCATTGCTATTTAAGATTAAAAAAGTTCTTTTTTTTTTCTACCAATAAAAAGTGTAATCTAATATACTTCAAAAAAAAGTACATTTACTTGAGTTCCTTTATAGATTAAAAAATATAAATTACTCAGGTAACTGCACTTGCTTAATTCGTATGATATATAAACTTTGTGATGGTAGTTCCAATAAATTTGTCCTTACAAGCTGTCATTATGTTTTTAGGAATTGTTTCATCTTGACTATCCCTAATTGCTTTTATAAATGTGATAACACAATTCTCTTCTAAGTATCAGTTTTATTTCATTCGATTCATTTTAAATTATTGTATGTATTTCAGGTGAGCTCCAAGTTGGGTCTTGTTTATATAGTCACAAAATATGGTATCTTGCATTTATGTGATTTAGAAAGTTGTACTACTCTTTGTAGCATAAATATTTGCACAGATGTCATTTTTGCCACTGCCTTTAACAAAGAAACTGAGGGTATAATTGCAATATCTAGAAATGGACAGGTAACTTTGATTATATCTATCCTACATTGACATTGCTGTAATAACGAGATTGTAGTTATAAACTTTTATTTAATATTAAACTTATAAATATAAAATAGTATTTAAAAAAGCTCTTTTATAAGAAGGAAGGTAACTTGGCTGGTGGTTAGCCACACATGCTTGTTATGAAAAGTTAGGGTGAAATGATTTTCCATTATAGATGCAAGAAAAACAGAAAAATGTCTTGCCTTTTTATATAACATTGTCCAATAAACATCAGAAATTTTTTTGTCACTTATCTCACTTTTTTTAAAATTTTAATTTCACAATTCCCCCCCCCCCCNAATTAGATCCCCCCCCCCCATTTCAATCAAAAGAAAGATTTCACGTTTCCCCAAACCCGTAATATTACAATCCTCTTGCTCTAGTAAAGAAGAACTATAGGTGGGACATAGAAGAGGATTGATACTTTCAAAAGAATTCCTCTTGAAATGCAGGAGAGCCATTCACTGTACCGAGGAATGATTTTAGTCATCTATCTTAAGTTTTGTTTTCTTATCTGCTGTGGAGTTGCAGAACATTAAATTTTTTGTATTTCTCCTTGAATTGAATTTCTTCTTCCTGTATGTGCTTAATAAGAGCATAATATTGCATCATAGAAATTAAGCACTCTTAAAAGTTCTAATGTTACATTAAAAGTGCATAAAAGTTTTTTTCTTCCTAAGAAAAAACGTAAATAAAATGTTTACTTTTAACCCATTGGCAAAATGGGTGTTGTTTTGGGTTTGATGTTGTGCGCGCCTTATTTGGACGCCATCACACTCTTCAACTCTGTGCATGCGTCGTCTTTGCATGCATTGCTATGGTGACTGCTACTGTTTGATAATTTTTTTATAATTCTTTTTTTTTCTCTTATTATTTAATTTTGTTATGCATTAAGTTGGTGAGTTTATTTATGAGATATGAGACCAGAGATATGAGACCCATAAATACTTCTTGAGTTTCGAATAAAAGAGAATTTCATCATTTGAATGATATTTTTGTTTTTATTGTTTTAATTAATTAATCAGAAATTCTAACCTACAGTTCAAAATAAATAGTTTTCAATACTAATTCAGGTGAATATCGCAAATAAAGAAGGTAAAAAAAAAAACAGACAAAAACCATTTTGCAAATGGGTAACCTCTAATCGCTGAAAGGTGATTACAATTTTTATTTTTTTAGAATTATTTTTTTCTCTTTTCAAAACTTTGATTCTTTTTTAATACAGTGTTATTATGTCATGCGAATTTGAGTAATCTCTTTTTGACTTGTAATTTCACACAGTTTGATGTTTTTTTATATTATTTTTGATGTCAGTTGTTATTAAGAATTTTTTCAGTCCTTTCTATGTGGTTTTTCAAATTGTGCTGTTTTTTTACAATGTTATAACACACGAATTTTAAATTGGAGAATTTCCAATTGATTCACTGTAAATTTACTTGGTTTTATAATTGTTTTATCAGTCAAATGATTGACAAAGTTCTACAAATTTTTTTTCTCCCATGGTTTTTTAAAACTCCATATTTTAATTAATATAATGTTTATTATGTGACATGTATTTCAGTAACAGCTATTTGTTAATGATTTATTTGGAAATCTTTCTTGAACATATTTGATTTCTCATAGTTTTATTTCCAGTGTTTCCCTTAGGCGCCCAGGTGAAATTTAATAATTTTTTCAGCCCTTTCCTTTTAGTTTTCTAATACGATGTTATTATTACTTGCCGTTTTCACCTTAAAGTTAACTTCTTCTACACACTCAATTCAGGGCGATTACATTGTAAATTAATGATTTCCGACAGTTTTTGCATTCAATTAATTTCATATTAATACGGTGTTTTATTTTTGATTAATGCAATGTTGTAATGATTTATTCAATTGTTAGTGACGACATGAGTTGACAATTTGTTAATGATTTATTCAAAAATCACTTTTAACGGTTCCATCGTGATTCCACTTTATTTTTCCCTGAGAGTTTTTTCACCCATTTTTATTTTATTTTTTAAACAATGTTATTTTATATGGATGTTTCGAATTTAACCCCTTTAGGGCAATGACGACATGTGTCGAATTTCTTACATATTTCCAATTTTGATACTTTTAATACGATATTATTTTATATTTCATTAATCACATTTTCCCACATTCGCTTTGCACCATTTCTATTGTAAAAGTACTTTTTTTGCAATAATAGTTATTTAACGTTTTTCTCAGTTCTTCACATTGTATTTAAAAGCACATCGTTTTTTAACTCCTGAAGAGAAGCACATCTCAATAAATGTGTATTTGCATGATAGCAACAATATTTTTGTTGTGTACTTTCACTGCTTCTTTAATATAATACTTTAAGCCATAACAGCTAAAGTCAAACATGCAACTTTTTTTTTAGTTGGGAAAAACTAAAAAATATTCTTTATGTAATTTTCTTTTAATTAAAAAATTCAATAGCAGTAAATTAAAGCAATAAATAGCTACAACAATAAATGTTTCTAAACCAAATTTTTTCCTTTAAGTTGTATATTTTGAAGGTTATTAGGATGTTGCCTGAATATTAACACTGTTTTCAATTAACTATTTATCCTTTTTAAAAAATTTTAGTCACTTTTTTCACTACTTTTTCTACTATGACCTGCACTGAGCCCTGTAATTTTTATCTCATTATAAACATATCATTTTTGTATTTTTAATTTTATTTTTATTGGTCGCTTATTTTTATACTTTAGATAAGTATATAAACATATAAGTGTACGACACAATTCTATAAATGTAAAAAAGGAAATTTGTTGTTAAGAAATTTCAATAACTAGGCAATAACTTTTTACATTATTTCTTTAACTATTTGCTAAGAGACTAAAATTAATTTGATTGTAACTAATGCTGCAGAAAATTTTTCTGGAAATAATAAATACTTAAGTGCATTAACTAAAAATTATTTTAATACATTTTAAGCTGTTCGTCATATTTAGTAAATAAATAAGTTAAGTGAAATAATGCAAAATTCCATAAGGTTTTTGTTTTAAAGATCTTCTACTGTAGTGTTTATCTGCCCTTTCATTGTTGCTATCCCTTGATTCTCATTAAGGGATATACTTGCATTTTGTTTATGCATATGATTGATTTTTTAGGTACTTTCTGTAGATTTGAAGCGAGAACAAGTGCTGAAATATGTGTTAGAGACAACAAAAAGGTTTCATATTGTTGAGCGACTATCCCAAGTTTTAAAAAATGAAAATTTTTAGTTTGTAACTTTTGCAATTTTGACTACTAGATTTTTCTAGTCATTCAAACACATTTTTTTAAATCTTAAGTCTGTACCTTTTTGAAGAAAAAAATAATTTTTATGAATATTTTTTTTATTTTACTTTTTAACTTTTATTTAGGAAAAAAAAGATCTTTTAAGAAGGTTATGGAAGCTCTTAGAGTTTTGAATAATGCATAAAAAAGTTAATTGCAATTCTTGCTTTAATCGAAATGTAAAGGAAAAAGACTTGCTCATTATCTCTGATAAACTGATAATTTTAGAAAACTATGTTAATATTTAATTACAAAATTAATAATTTATATACAAATAGTTCAGCAATGAACATTTTTATTATTAATCTTTCTAGGATTACAAATTGGTTTCTAAACAAAATGCACGATCCATATTTTTGTCTTTAACATGGATGATTTTGACTCTCTACTTGTTGATTACTTTTTCTCTTTTAGCTTCTCATTTACTTTAGCGCACACATTCATTTATCTTCTATTTCATTGTCTCTCTTAATGAAGCTTATTTATTATGCTTTTTATTGTTACTGTAAACAATACAGATTTCATATATTTATTTGACTAAGCTTTTTATTTATTATTATTTCAATGTACATCTATTAGTGTTAATTTATTTTAAAGTGTAGTAGTAATTTGTAAATACATACTGTTATTAAAATATTTATTTTTTTATTGATTTTCTTGCTATATATTTTTGAATAAATGTTCTTTCCTAAATACTATTGTTTGAAATTTTCTTTTTTTTAATAAAATTAATATTAATCAACGAACTAAATGCAAACCTGTATCGGAAGCCCTTAGGCTTCATTGTAACAGATTATCTTAACTAATTCTTTTATTTCTGGGATGGCACTTTCTTTGTGCGACAGAATGTGGGTTTTAATTACTAAAGGACATCATCTGATTTCTTTAACCATATTTTGATTATGACATGTTTAATACTGTGTTCCGTGAAATGTTTTATTAAGAGACTTTAAATTATTTTAGTAAAGTATTGTCTCTGAAATTATTTTATTATTTCAAATAGTATATTTTACACTCTCAGATAAAGGTTTTTGAGTTTTGTAATAAAGGCTGATTTTATGTTAAGATATTTGGGGTATTTTCATTAACAATTCTTATGATTAATAGAATAATATTAAAACTGGTGATAAATTTTAAGAAAGGAATTTTTAATAATCCATATGTTATTAGAAAAAAAATCATTTAATCAAAAACTTTAAAAAAAATTATTGAAAGACATGATTTATTACATTTCCATGTTGCAATCAAAATGCCTCATATATCTGTCATACTTTTATTCTGTGATAACTCTATTTTAAGATACAATTTATAAATGTCAAAACTTACTGAACAAACATTTTTGTAACATTAACTTTAAGTGTTATGTTTGAGTATGAAAAATAAAGCATTTTTAGAGCAAAAAAAGTATATGCATGAATGCTTTAAATAGATTTTAATAAGATGAAAAACTATACAACAGATTAGTTATGGTATAGGACTGACTTTTAAAATATTACAATATTTTGTGTTGACAGCTGTTAGTGATACTGCCTGATACTGTGAGTGCAGTTAATGGTAGCAATATAAAATGTGTGCCTGTATCCAATTTATTTTTGGTCTTGTAGCTAAATTAGAAAATTAATGGTTGCAGTTATATTGGAAATTGGAATATTTAAGATGTCATATCAAAAAAGGCTAGAAGTTGCATTAGTCATCAGTGTAACTGATTTAATTTTAGTGCACTGAGTTCAAAAATTAACAATTGCAATTCCTTACAATATTTACCCAGGAGTATCAGAAATAGGAATATTCATGAAAGATATGTAAAAACTGAAAATCCATTCTTTTTTTGTTACATACTAGAGGGCTCCTCCCCTTGCTCACTACAGCTCGCCAACCCCCAATAATTGCTACTCAATTACATTTTTGTTCACTTCGCTAACAAAATTAAAGTAGTTTTCCTGGAGTTTAGCTGGCAATTTTTCTGCGTCAACATCACAGAGAGAGAATATTATAGGATTGCGAAATGCCTTATTATCAACATTGTGAACTTATCTAAAGCAATTTTAATACAAATAATATTATAAACTTATATAAAGCGAGGAAGCTATATTATTTAACACATTACTACTATAGGGCATTAGTAAAGCACGCGTGGCAGAGCCTAACTCGGGTAGACTATATTTGAGGGTGCCCCTTGATTCTCGCCAAGTTGTGATTGCGGTTGATCACCAAGCTGGGCGATGTTGAATCCCAATCGTGATTTTGATTGGTTTAGATTTTAGCGTTTTTTTTTAAATGTTTAACAGTATATGTAATTTCAGAGGTCCGTTAGTTCTACGTTGAATACTGGCTGGTTAGTTTACTTTTGCTTCTGGTCAATAAGATCAAAGGTATGTTGGCAGTCATAAAAAGGGACTTTAGAAAAAAATACCATCGCAAATCCGGTACCACAGACGCCATTTTCAATTCGTATTTCGCCGAATTTATGTGGCGATGGAGGTACACAGATTCTAGTCATGATAAATTTAGACAGTATCTAACTGCTATTAGAGAATTTGGTGCACATAAATCTGAAAATATTCCAGCTTAGCGAAGAAGTGAGTTGTTTTCTTCCTTTCCTTTTCTTTCTGTGCTTACTCCATTAATTTTTGTTTAGATTCAAAATGCATTTTATTGGATTCATTAATTTTGCTCATATCGGGTTCATTGCAATTTTATTATGTTTTGATGTTTTGCAGCACTTTTGTTGAAATTTTCTAATGTTTTATTGAAATATCATTATATTTTGGCAGCCATTCCTGTTACCACGGTGTTCTGCGCAAACAGGAATGGCGCCAAACATAAGTCGCCAATTTCGCCAAGGGGCACCCTCAAGTATATTTTTACCCCTAACTCAAATCATTGTTGATCTTATAGGATGCTGGACGCTCCCTATATGGTGCTTCATCTCCCCCCTCCCCAATAATTTAAATTTTAAACTGAAAACAATTAAAACCTAATGAAAGAAAACTTTAAAATATGGCAAACAAATTAAAACATGTAATATTAATAAGTTAATGCTGAGTAATATTTCAAAAGCAAAAACCATTGCAAGTAATTGCCCAATTAACTTCAATACTGTCAATTGACAAAATATTTTAGTTTCAATCAGACAAAAAGCAAATTATGTAATAAAAACATATGTAACTGAAATTCGACAAATTAAATTAAGCAATTTAATTTTTTTTTTTTGTCATATTGAATACTAATAAAAAAACAAATGCAAAATGAAATAATTATGTTATCAATGATCAATAAACATTTTTGTCTGAATTGTTATAAAAAATAAGGTGAAAACAATAAAATTAAAAATTATTTACAATAGATCTCTGAATATTCACAAAACCTGGCTATGTACATTTTTCATTGATTTTTCTTTTCACATCATTTTGTGTATCACTTTTATGCATTATTTTCAGAAATATCTCAAACAAATATGAACTGTTAATTAATATTTCTGGCTGAATGATTCTTTGAAAGTAAATAAGAAACAATTAAATGTAAGGAAAAACAATGATAAAATTAAAAATTATTTGCAAAACCTCCTTATGTACAACATTTTTTATCAATTTATTTTTCATATTATTTGTTTCCATTTAAACATCTCGACTCTTCAACGTTTCTTCGCCGCGCATTTCGGTGTCGCGTATTGATAGCACTACAATTATTTTCCCGGTAATTTTGTGCTGCTAAATTATGTTCAGCCCTATGTCGCTGTTGATATCGCCTAAGATATTTACGGCGATCCATTGTTTAGAAAAGATATAAGTATTTTAAAGTAAACTCTGTTCAATATATTTCACACATTCAATACAAAATGAAAATCGCAATAAGATTTAGCTGGTAAGTTTAGTTGTAACATTTCTGCACACAGCATTATTAAAAATTGTTACCTTTTCACACACATGCGTTCTCAATTTTGATTGGCTGTTTTGTGCGTTACTAACCAGAAGTCTTCTGTGATTGGCTATGTGTTATCATTCCACTCTCTTCTTATATATAAAGAAATGTCACTTAAAGCAAAAATAATTTAGAGATAAGTATTTGTTTAAAAATTATTATACACTTTATTTTATACAAAAAAAAAAACCACGAGCATTAAAATTTTTTTAATGCAAATATTGCAATTTAAAATTCAGATCAAAAATAGATAATGTTAAAAAAAATATAGAATCATACTCTATATAGTCTTCAAATTATTTTTTTTTAATGAAAATGAAAAAATTTTTTAAGGAAAAAATTTTAAACTTCATTTGGAAAGAAATTGCTATTTTTTATGCCTACCGTTAATATAACGTAGCAACCAATTTTAAAAATACAAAAAATATTTTACAGTCATAATAAAGAAAATGTTTTATTAGCACATGAACATGATGTCATGTGGCCACATTGTGATAGTAATTAAACCATGCAACATGAAGAATATTGAATTAATATTTGATTTTTGAAAAAAAAATTCTTTAGGAAAAATGTTAACAATCATAACAAAAGTCATGTTATGTAGCAAGCTTCTTCCACTGTATCATTTAATGTGAATCCATCACCATAATGTGAGGATTGGCTTAAACCTGAAGGTTTTAGATTGCACATTGGACATAATTGATTTCTAACTGTTGAACTTCGCATCCACATAATTAAGCTACATCTTTCTCCAGATTTAATGTTCAAAACACCATGTAATTGGCATCCTCTATGTAAAAGGCCATAACCTACTTTTGGCTCTATTAGAATACAGGTAGATTCAGATATAGGTTCAGAATTCATATCACCAAAATATAATTCACTTCCTTCAAAAGTTTTTCCCAAACATACATTTAAAGTAACCTGAAATTCAAAATAATGAAGATTTCAATGCAAATCTAATGACTCAATTTTTCAGAAAATTATATTTGAATTTTGTTCATAATTTTTGTTGACTTGGAGGATTTTAAGCTGAATTAAACTTTAGTTAATTTTTCTTATTTTATTGCCTATTATTTGCAGAAGGATTAAATGTATCATTTAATGCCAAATGAAGTTTGTATCCAATTAAATATTTAAAATAACATATACTTAACAAAATCAAACAGTGCTAGAAACAATGTTTTAAATGAAAATAACATAATACTAAAGGTTACTATAACTAAGATTTGGGGAATCCAGTCCTTAAGTAGATATCCTCTTTAGAGATACTGAAAAGAGAATAATCATTAGGAAAATTAAAATTATAGAACTGGCATACAGTTACAAAATTGAACATCAAGTGGTAAATATGAACAGAAAAAATTATAAAAAAATTTATTCATTATTGATAAAAATACTGATAGATTGATTTTATTGGTGAAGTTTAAAATTATAAAAATAACACTCAAAATATAATTAATGATAGCAATTAAAATATTTAAAAATTGATTATTTGCTGCAAAACTAGGATACCAGTTTACACTGTAATGCTATTCTTTCATATTATCAGTGCTTACAACTTTATTATATTTCAGAACTTTAAAAAACATGAATGCAATTTTTTTTTTGAAATAACATATTATAAAAGTTTTTACTTCACTATTATCATAATGAAATCCTAGATCTGTATTTTGATCACTTTTATACTGAACAGAAAAAAATTTATGAGAATCCAACTTCTGGCCTCTCCATTCCGGGAATAAAACTTTCACAAGTGGATCAAGATAGTCTTTTCTTAGTACCAAAGAAAATCCATCATGGAATCCAATATCATCTAATAAAACCTATAAATTTTTCAAGTAATTTTTGTATTAATGTAATTTAGTTAATATGAAATTAAATGTAACTTTTCAATCAAATAAATTGATACCTTATTATTTGGTAGTCTGTTAATTATAAAACTAATATGCATAAATGAACTAATATTTAAGATTATACTTAAATTAAATGTATCTAAGGAATTGAATAAACGTCACTGAATGATTAAATGTGTCAAAAAATATATTTAGACGTTAATGACTAACGTTATATATTTCATCCATCGATTTGATTCTAATTTTGCCTTGTAACTTTTAGGATCAAAAATATTAGACAAGGTTTGTAGTTATCTTGATGTTGTACTTACTTTTAGTTTTGATGTCCCTAAATTATCATTATTTTTTATATATACATATTTGAATCAAATCATTGAATTTTATATATATTTGAATCAAAAGTATTGGATTTTTGAACTTTTTATTTTAATTAGTAATGCTACTAGAAATCTAAACTTCAATTATTTCCTAATAAGGGACTGTCTGGTTCAAGTATTTAGCCTTACCACTCATTATTTAAACTGTATTGGGAATTCAGTCATTTTATGAAAAAAGAAACTCAATTAACAATTTTGTATTATCAAATTAGGGATTATTATTTTAAACAAATCTTGTGGTGCAGTTTCCTAATATTAATTCATCTCTTTCGTAGGATTTTAAAATGATCAATCAACATTACAGTAATCATAACATAGAGTTTTTAATTGATTGATTGAGGGATGTTAAAGAGGCATTCACTATTTAAATCTCACTAAGAATATTGAAACCAAACTTTAAAATTATTTGCTTAAGGAAATCTCTCAGTTACAAATTTTAATTATATATTGCTTTGAGGGAATACTAACTGATTAATACAGATTTAATTTTTTAATGCTGCAAAAATTTTCTATACATTGATTTGAAACAATTTTAAGTTGTCCAGAATTTATAAAATTATTCTAGAAAGTTTTAAAACTTTTTGTTCTTAACAAAGTAATTCTAATATTAAATTTTTTTTATTATTCTTTTGTGATAAATTTTGTTTTTATTACACTTAAATAGAGCAAATTATATTTTTTTTAGTTAGGTTACTTTTTTAAAATTAGTATGGTATAAGTATACTGTACCACAAAATGTCCTGGTTTTTTATTTGGCCTACTAGAAAGCCTGTATTATTAGAATATTGTAATTATTAATTTATGTAAAAAAAGATGCATAAGAATAATTTTAACTCTTCTGAGTTTTAAAATACATTAATATATCAATTAAATGATATTATAAAGACACTATAATTGAATAATTTTGAATTTATAAATCGACATAACAACATAATTTGAGAAACTACAGAGAGTTGTGTTGAATTTATTGGGAAAAAATACTTACATATGTGACAATTTTTCATTTATTTAACTGCCACTTTTTATGATTTTAAAGATTATTTTTCTTGACGTTTGATTCTTTTGATATAAATTTAATTCCAAAAAAGTTTTCACGACCAAGACACTTCAATGTTTGAAACACTCAATTAGTAGAGGGTTTCAACCTCTAAAGCAGTGTTTCCAGACTTTTTTTTTCTTCCCCATACTATAAATGATTAAATTCTCTCTTGCTCCTTAATCATGTATGCAAAATTTCTTGATTAAGTTTTTGCTCTAAAACTAATCAGACAATTAAAATCTGTGACATTATGCACATTTAAATTTTTGCATAATATTTTAAGATATAACCTAAAACATAATAGGGGTATTTGATTTCAGATAAATAAAGCAAACTTACACTTGAATTTTCAACCATATAATCTAACTTTCATAAGTAAAATTTAGGAAATAAATGGGATCTTTGAGCTTGTTCGTTGAGTTTCTTGAAATTTGGCTCCAAGAAGCCATCAAACACTCAAATCAAGAGTAGCATATAAAGCTTGTTACTATATTTATTAATGCATACGATGAGAAAGCTCTCTCAACGAGCTTTGTATTAGTGAAAAATAATAAATAATTGGCTTTATTCTTACAAAATTCTTTTTCTCTCACTTTTGCTCAAAAGACAAAATTTTTTTATCAGACTGCAATAGGAATTGAATGAAAACTGAATCTAACATTTCTTTCAACTACTGATAATTTTTGAGCTTGTTCGAAAAATAATTGGTGGAAGGATTTAAAATCCTATTATTATTATTCCTTTTTAGTAAATACTGATATGTATACATATACATATATATATATACATATATATACATATATATATACATATATATACATATATATATACATNAGCTATATATATATATATATATATGTTTATATATATATATATATAAGAGAACAACTAAGTTAAGGTTTCAAACTCTGAATCTAACCGTGCTCAAAAAGATATGAATGTAAAAAGTTTTTAATCTGAAATTTTATGCTAGAAGATTTTTAAAACAAACATTCATACAATTTATTGTAAAAAAATATTGTGCGTGCTGATGTTCATGGAACAATGAGAGAATGTCTCATTGTTTATCAAATTAAATCATCTCCACTTCTCAAAATCCCTTCCATATGATAAACTATGGAACTACTTAGAAAGTTCTGCTCTCTGAGAAACATATTTTTCTTTCAAAGTTTGCATGAAATATTTCTATTGACACCTTCACAGCTTGTCATAATGTAATTTACTTCCCACAAAATAAATTGTTTTCCTTATTTAAAATTGAAAGGATAGTGAAATTATTTCAGTATTGCCACTTTCACAGGCAAAGGAGCATTTCCTAGCTTTTTGTTGTGTTATCTTCTGAATGTATGCTCTTGCAGATAAAATATTGTGAGGTCTAGCACTACACATGAGGAAAGGACTCCACCAAATAAATGCATTCATTATGTCAATAGAGCTTATTGTATAGATGATAACAATCTATTTTTAAAAACATGTGTTAGTTGTGTTCAGAGATAATTTCTTTTGTACTGAACTTTGCAGCTTCTTACAAAAATACAAATTCGTAAAACCTCTCAATATATAATATATAAATTTAAGGAGTGTTAAGAAAATGAATTGGTAAAAGCTGATAACTGATATTTTTTGTATTTAATAATATATAATATTAAAAAGTTTTTAAAACAAAATTTTGAATATAAAATAATATTTTTATTCTATCAATATAGGGTTCAAATATATTATTAATAGAAATGTGTATAATAAAATATTGATAGAAATATAATATAATAAAAATCCCTGTTTTTCTTGTTTGATTTTGGTAGAAACATATTTTTTAAAATTTTCAGTATTTTTATATTTATAATTTTATTAATGCTTCAATGAAATTTTCGAAAAATTTTTTTATATGTTTCTATGAAACACATGCATGTAACATTTTGCATACTTCTAAAAGAAATGAAGGTAAAAGGTTCTTGGAGAATTTTTAACCATTTTAAATACTCAATGTTTAAGAGCTTCTGAAAAATTTCTGTATATCAACAATTTTAAATTTTGTTTTATGTGTTGCACCATTGAGTTAATTTAAAGGAAACAAAGTAAGCGTTTTTGTTAAACAAAAAAATTTTTACAGTTTAAATTTAATTACATTTTTATTTAGTGTGAATCCTTGACCTGAAATTGTTAGAAAAATTTTATGCATTTATAGTAAAAAGTTAGTTTGATCAGTATAAATATCAAATACAGAAATATTACCATATAAACTTCCCTTTGCAAATTATTAGTTAGCACAAAGAAATTTCCTGTGTTTTTGTTTCTCTTTTTTACTTTTAAATTTTTTTAAAATAAACATAAACATATTCATTAAAAGTAAATGTCATATGATTTTTTTCCTTAGAATCAAGTAACATTGACTATCAAATATTCAATTTGAATTCTCACAAATGTTTTGATGGAATGCTTTGAAGTGCTATAAAAATATTCAAATAGCATATTGTACAACTAAACAGTGTTACTAAAATGACATTCTTTTACTATTGAAAACAAAGTTAATTTCAATGGTCTCAAAAACAGTGATTAAAAATAATATCAAAACACAAAGAAGTCTAAAATAGTGAGTTTTTTCTTTTCATAGTTTCAATATTTTTAGCTATAGAGAGTAATGACTTTATGATTAGAATTCAGTTAAAGCTAAAAGTAACACGACAGTCATGATACAAACCCCATTTTTATTCATTGTGTTGGGTTGTTCTTTTGGCATATTTGATTCATTGTAATATTCTAACTCTTTAATGATCCTTTGGCAAAAGTTTTCATTAAATATTGGAAAACCATAAATTTGTTTTTCTGAAAAAAAAGTGTTATTTCATTAGTTAACATAAAAAGATTCATCAACAATATAGTGTTATTAGTGTACCAAGTTTAACATTTGTTTTTAATACCTATTTAAGTAAATTATATCTAGTTTATACTCTACCTACCAACTAGTTTATTTCCCAAAACCACATGAAAAAAGTTTTCGCCTTCTAGAAGTTTCAGAAAAAATGAACATAACTACAAATATAAAATGAGTCCCAGTTAAAAACTAAAAAAGAATCAAGAAAAATATCAACAATATTTTATAAGTTACTCAATATCTCTTAACATAAAAGGCTTTCTAATTATAGACACAGTGTCTTCCAAGATCTTTAAAAAAAAAAAAAAATTTCTTAGTTGCTAACCATTTTACACTTCATTTAAAATTGTTCTGGGTTCTCAGTCAAAAATAAAATTGTTTTATTTTCTCAAATATAGAGTGGCACAATTGCTATAGTAATGCTATTTCAACAAGCTTTTGTATTCTTCCTTGATTTATTTTGAAACTTCATTTACAATGAGTAACAAATGCTATCTCACCTTTGGAAATAACATCTAATAAGTGAAAAATTTGTTGAGAATCTGGCTGATTCGTTAATTCAACAAGTTTGGCGAAAGTTGGATGAAAATAATCTTCCTAAAAAAATTTTTTTTTAAAGAACTGTTGACACTAGAATCATTAATGAATCAAATGGCTTTTAATTATATTTTCTTTAAAAAATATATAAAAAAAACTAACAAGATAGTATTGAAAAAATTATAAATGCAAACTGAGTAAATAAATACTTTAAACTCAAAAGATATATGCTCGGAAAAAAAAATCCTCCAAGCTATTTGAGTTTTATATACAAATGATATGAAAATAACAGTACAAAATTTAATACTGAATTATTTTATTAAAAAATTTTATTAATTTCTAAGCTAAAATAAAATATAACCTTACTTTGAGAGACTTATGAATAAGAAAATGAAAAACAAAACAAAAATGCAAATTAAATTTAACTGTAGTTTCATGGGATTATTTTGTTCCAGAAATAATTTTTTATTTACCTGAAATTTTGATTCAATTTGAAATATCATAAAGAAAAAGAGAATTCTTTTTTTTTTTATTTACCTATAACTTAACCGTAGCTGTTGTGTATTTTTACGATCATCATTTATCTTGTTGTGTGCTCTGAGCTTTTTACTTTTTTTTTCTTATTGAAGTTTAATGTTGTGTTTTCCTATTCTAAGATTATTTCCCATTTTATTATATCACATTATTCCATTCTTATATCAGGGATATTGTGATCTCAGAACTACAATCGCCAAGGAACTATGGTATAATTAGTTGATTATCCATATAATATCGTCCAAAGGTTTAATTATATGAGCATTTTGCTCTTAGAAGGAAAAGATAACATTCTCTTATGAAAACGAAACTATAATTTTATCCCAGCACCCTGCCAATTTTAAGACTATGTCAACCATCATCTATCAAAAGGTACCTCAAGATAGAATCAAGTTAACATGTCTTTATATACTATAGTGAATTGGTTTTTAATATTTATAGTGGTAATTACAACACAATACCAAATAGATTTTAAACTTGTAATTTAAAAAAAAAAAACATGCAGATGTTTACCCGAGGTGACTACGAGTCATATCGTTCGAGTTGGTCACTTTCAGTGATGTTTTTTTAAATTTTTTTTTTAAAGTTTCTCGTGGGCCGCTGTCCGAAAGTTGCCTAGACTTGGCGATTATTCTGTCACAGATCACGCCCCCCTTATATCCACGAATTACCAAAAATACAATACAACCAAACATTATTATAAAAACCAAAGAATTTTACGAATGTAAATTACTGAAAAGGATAGTTACTAAACCTTAAACATCAATAATGTTATTAATTTTTAATATAATACAAACCTTTATCGAGTACACAATTTCATCTAATGGTCGATAATTCCTTTTTAGGTAATTTCTTCGATCGACATCGTTTTTTTCTTTTCCCTTTCTTCTTTTAATTTCATCTGTAATCTTAAAGGAAACAATTTATAAATTACAAAACAGTGCTTGTTAAAAATTAATACTAGTTCAGTTGAGAAAAAGCTGAAAAGACATACGTACGTTTTTCAGTAATATTTCTTTTTTTGACTCAGAATCACAACCTAAGTTAGGCAAAATCTAAAATTATAACATAAAAGGAAAAATGTGTATATATATAATAGCTTTCTATACATTATGTAAATGAAATAGTCTGATAAACAATTACGTTGCCATAATCCATGAAAAACTTCTTGTTATCAAAGTATTTAAAATGATATTTGTATTCTTTTATATATATATTATGAGTGAAATTACAGCCACAATTGTAGAACTTCATGATCGCACCACTGCTTGTAAACAAACAATTCTTTCAGAAGCAGACGACTTTCTACTAAACAGTTACGGTGCTCAGTTATTTTTTAGTCACTGTGCGAAGAATTTTACTCCTAGCGTCATTCCTCTTCCGCACTGTCTTGAATGCCCGCCGTTTTA